AGCCTGCCGCCCGGAGGTGCTGGCGTGCCCGGCGGGGGCTCCAGTGGCCGCTGCTGCTGCTGCTGCTGCTGCCCTCGTTTCTCCACCTCGAGCTGCATTTTCAGAACTTCCACGAGCTTCTGCTCTTGCTCCAGCTTCCTCTTCAGCTCCTCGATCTGCTTCTCTTTCTCCTGCAGCTTGCGGTCCTTCTCAGCCGCGTCCAGTTCCAGGCTGGACAGGGTGCTGCTGGTGGGGCTCAGGCTGTCCTCGTTACTCGTCGCTCTCAGGGGAGACGAGCACAGGAACTGTGACGGGGACATCATGGTCATGATCTCAGTGAAGGTGTCCGCCACACTCGTGTCCTCGGCGCTGAGGCTGGACTGTTCAGAGGGAGATGGAGAGATCGGCAGCGGGGAGCTAACGTTCTCCACGTGGGCCACACCGCCGGCTCCAGCCGATGGCAGCTCTGCCTTGAAAGCGGGGCCGGAGCTAGTCACAGAGCTGTGTAGCGTTGTAACCGGCAATGCCATGGTGACTTCCGGGCTACTAGTGACGATGGCGGATGTCGACACAGCCACGATGCCACCCGCAGCAACGCCACTGCTGTTCATTTCCTGGTAGGGTTTCAGGCGTTCAATGAGGTCTGGTTTGGTGCCTGACACCGGAAGACCCCTTAACTTCAGTTCTGTCTTCAGTTCCGATACCTGGAAGTAAAACAAATCAGATCTCCTTTTTGGTATTATGACCTTCTGACCAATCTACAGGGCACTCCTGTGATGGAAAAGGAGGTGCGTGCCCCTGTCAGACAACACCGATTACCGCGTATATGAAAGTAGGACAGTTTCTTTAACACATAAAAACACAAAGGGCTACAGGTTAAAGAACCTGAAAGGCCAGTGGTAAAGCAAGGGTTATTAGAGGGTATGTATCAAAAGGTTTACTACCAGAAATGACAACAGCTGCATTTATTGAGTAATCACCATGTGTCAGACACTGCTGGAAGTGCTCTGTTCTTTCAATTAATCTTCCCATGAGGTGTAGGTGTAATTACTCCCATTTTACAGATGAGGAGATTGAGGCAGAGAGAGGCCGCATCACTGGTCCAGGCTCCCGTAGGTAGCAGAGGGCTGAGCCGGGGTGGAATCCAGGAAGGGTGGCCCTGGAGATCGTGTTCGTAACCGTTACATTTTCCTGCTTCTCCCAAACTTGGCAACGAGCAGGGAAGGAAAAAAATCTGCCTCTGGAGTCAGCACTGGTATGGGGCTTGCACACGGCAGATGCTCAATAAATGGAGATTTATTACTGGTCATTTTAAAAGAAACTTAATGGCTATAAAAAGAAAGTACCTCTATAAAGGTTATCCTGCTGCTGATAAAGTCGAACATCTATTGGAAACTACATACATCTGCTAGACAAATCGGCAAACCATCTACAGCTCTGCGGGGCTTATGGGTGGACAAAGCCCACGTGCAGCCATCACCTTTAAGTCATCCAAGCTGGAAGGCAGCGGCCCTGGCTTTCTCACAGGAGCAGATGTATTCTGTCTTGCTGTATTAGGTGTGGTGGTGTTCAAAGCTGGATTCCCACTGTTGCTATTTTTCTCATTGAGTGGCCTTCAAAAAAAAAAAGAAAGAAAATTAGAGAGTTTATAATAAAATAATTTCTGGAGTTGACATTGCTTCTGCTAACAGTCTATTAACTTACAAAGAAAAATATCTGGTCATGGATTGGAAGGCTCACTGTGGTAAAGATGTCACTCAAATTAGACCCCAATAAAAATCCCTGCAGGTTTTGTTTGTTTGCTTGCTTGGTAGAAATTTAGAAGATGGTTTAAAGCTGTTTATGGAAATTCAAAGGACCAAGAACTGCCACGGCATCCTTGAAGAAGGCAAAGCTGGAAGCATGGTACCACGAGATATCAGAGCCAGTTATTAAGGATGGTGTGGGGCTGATGCAGACAGAAAAAGAGACAAATGGGAGAGATAAGAGAATCCAGAAGCAGACCCCCACATATGAGGGGCCCTGCACTTATCACCAAAGTGACACTGCAGTGCAGTAGAGAAAGGGCGGTCCTTCCCATAAATGGTAAAGGGCCAAAGGGGGTTTCACACAGAGAAGGGCTCTTGATCATCCCCACCTCATACCATCTCAAAACCTAAATGTAACTGGAGAACAAACTTGGGGTAGAAAACTTAGGATAATCTCTCCATAGCCTTTGACAAGCAAAAGTCTTAAACAGGACACAAAAAGCACTCACTGAAAAGGACACCTTTCAGAGGGTGAAAAGTCAAGCTCCAGGAGAAAATATCTGTAATACATATTTCTGACAAAGGCCTCATAGAGCTTTCACACGAAGTCTTGCGAAATAGTAAGAAAAAGAAAAACCCAAAGGGAAAATGGGAAAATCGTAAACAAGCATATCACAAGAAAGTATATCCAAATGGTTGATAAATATGTGAACAAGTGCCTAACCTCATTAGGTGTGAGCAAAATGAAAAACACAACAAAGTAGCATTGCACACCATAGCCCCAGCTGGAAGCAACCAGCTGCCCGTCGACAGTATGAAGGGTGGATGAATTACAGAATACTCGACAACAATCAAAATTAACTGCTGCTGTCTGCACTGATAAAGATTCGTCTCACAAACACACCTAGGGGGGATGTGAGGTAATAACACAACTGACAGTGTTCCATTTCTTGATTTCCCTGGTTCCAGGAGTGTGCTTACTTTGGCATTGGTTTTCGCCTATGATTTATGGACTTCTGTAACCTATACTTCATTTTTCAAAGTTTATTAAAAAATGTTGGACCTAATTAAACATACAAGCTTTTGCACAGCAAAGGAAACCATAAGCAAAACAAACAACCTACATGATGGGAGAAAGTATTTGCAAAAGATGAAACTGATAAAAGGCTTGATCTCCAGAATATGTAAACAGCTTGTACGACTTAAGAAAAAAACAAAAAACTCAATCTAAAAATGGGCAGAAGACCTAAACAAGCAATTCTCTAATGAAGAATACAAATGATCAATAGGCACATGAAAAAATGCTCAATATCCCTAATTATCAGAGAAATGCAATTCAAAACTACAATGAGGTATCACCTCACACCAGCCAGAATGGCCATCATTTAAAAGTCCACAAATGATAAATGCTAGAGAGGGTATGGAGAAAAGGGAACCCTCCTACACTGCTGGTGGGAATGCTGTTTGGTGCAGCCATTGTGGAAAACAGCATGGTGATTCCTCAAAAAGACTAAAAACAGACTTACCATATGATCCAGCAATCCCACTCCCAGGCATATATCCAGAAGGAACCCTAATTCAAAAAGACACCTGCACCCCAATGTTCATAGCAACACTATTTACAATAGCCAAGACATGGAAACAACCTAAATGTCCATCGACAGATGACTGGAAAAAGAAGTTGTGGTAATATTTATACAATGGAATACTATTCAGCCATAAAAATGATAACATAATGCCATTTGCAGCAACATGGATGGACCTGGAGAATGTCATTCTAAGTGAAGTAA